ATGTAGTGTCCGTCCTTGTCTTTCTGTACTGATTTTAATGAAAAGTTTATTTTGTCAGATATCAGGATAGCTACACCTGCTTTCTTATTGGGGGAATTTGATTGGTAGATCCTTTTCCACCCCTTCACTCTGAGTTTGTTTGTATGTTTGGCTGAGAGGTGGGTCTCCTGAAGGCAACAGATGGATGGGTCTTGTTTTCTGATCCAGTCCTCAGTTCGTTTTCTTTTAATTGGCGAATTCAGCCCATTTATATTAAGAGAAAGTATAGAGAGATGCATTGTTGTCCCTGCCATTCCGTTTTCCTAAGTTTTTCTTCTTTCCTTTCCTCCTGTGCTTGCTCAGTTAGACTTTGAGTAATGCCTGTTTGGGGCAGGTCCCAGTTCCTGGTTGCTTTCTTCAGGTTGTGTCCCCCCTCTTAGAATTCTTTGTAATGCTGGCTTAATGTTTATGTATTCATTTAGTTTTTCTTTGCTATTAAAAGTTTTCAGTTCTCCATCGAATGTGAATGCTAGCTTTGCCGGGTATATCAGTCTGGGTTGGCAGTTATTGGCTCTCAGGGCTCGTATGGTGCTTTCCCAGGCTTTTCTTGCATTCATTGTTTGTGTGGAGAGATCTGCAGTGATTCTAATTTTTTTCCCGTTGTAGTATAGCTCCTTCTTCATTTTTGCTGCATGCAGGATTGTTTCCTTATTATTCAGATCCATCATTGTTACTATTATGTGCCTAGAAGTGTTTCTCCTGGGATCTTGCTTGTTGGGTGTTCGATAAGCTTTTGTGATGTAGCTAAGATGGTCGTTTTTGAGGTGGGGAAAATTTTCATTGACTATCTTGTTAAATAGGTGTTGCATTCCCTTGCTCTGGAATTCCTCACCTTCGTCCACTCCGATTATGCGAAGGTTAAATTTTTTAGCATTATCTGCTTGCTCTTGAATTTCCCTTTGGTTTAATTTGAGTGATTTTTCCATATCTGTCACTTTTTGGTCCAGTTGGTGTATTCTGTCTTCTGTATCTGACACTCTACCTTCCATTTCATTCACTCTGTTGACCGTGGCTTCTATTGTGGTTTGCATGGTGGAAATGGATCCCTTTATGGATTCAATGTTGGTTCTCAGAGTACTGATCTCACCTCTCAATGAGGTGAGATCAGTATGCATTACCTCTAATTTGGCGTTTATCTCACTTCTTACTGAGGTTTGTGCAGCTTCTATTTTTGCATCCAATTTTTGTTTGATATCCTGTATATCTTTTGATAGTTCATCCTTGTGCTCTTTCAATTTCTGATCCATTTCTCGCTTTATTTCTTGAGTCATTGCCTCCAGCAACCCTTGGATGTAGTTTTTGTCTTCCATTCCTGCTTTGCTCCCACTGGGGCTCTCCCCTGCGTGGCTGCTGGCTTTTGAGGTGAGCTTGCTGTCCTGGGTAGTGGTAAACCTTGTGATTTTTCTCTGTGATTTTCGCATGGGGGTTCAGGAGACTGCTCTTCAATCTTGTTTTGGTGTGTCTGTCTTTGCTTGGTTGCTGATTCTGTATTGGTAGAGAGAGTCTGTGCCTGATCTGGATTCTGTTGGGAGCCTATTTCCAGCTGCTATTCACTTAGGATTCTCAGCTCTCTGCTGTAGCAATTCCCGCCTTTGGAAGGGTTGAGCAGCCTGGACTGCTTGTGTTTGCTCCTGCGGGTGCTCTTGGGAAGATCAGATGCTCTGGATGCACTCTCCCAAATACTGGAGTCTGCTATGGGCTCCTGATGTGTTTTTGTTTGTTTGTTTTGGGCTGGTTGTGGGCTTGAACTCTAGGTTTGGGTGCTGTCCCTCAGCTCTTCAGCTCAGGGCTGGCACCCTACCATTTGAGCCACAGCCCCACTTCTGACCCTTTTTGCTTTGTTCAGGCGCCGGTCCCCTGGCCTGGTTCCGGCCCCAGCCTGGAGCGCGCTCGTTAGGCCTGTGCTAATGTGTATACCACCTTGGTTATGCAGCCTGGAGGACACAGTTCAAATTTCTTCTACTGTTGGTAGTCTTGACCCAGGGGCACTGTTCCTGGCTTGAGCATTTAAGCTCCCTTCCAGGGACGCTCTTGCTCTGGCCTGGCCAGCCGAGTGTGCTCCACCAGCTGGTGGAGCTCTCGAACAGTTCCCAGTTTTAGTGTGTCCTGTGGTCCGGGTGTTGGGGTAGGGAGTCTAGGTCAGGGTCTGGGGATTCCCTCCAGCTCTGGTCTCCCTTGATGGATTCCCTGTCCCCTGATGGGTACTCACCCTGTAGGTCGTCAGTTGTTGTTGCAGTCCGTCAGTTGTTGTTGCAGTCCGAGTTCAGTTGGGGTGGTTGCGGGCTGGGTTGGGCGGCCCCCCGCCGGGTCGTTGCGATCGCGATTGGGCGGGTGGTCTGCGGACAGGTCCCTTCGTGGCGCTGCTGGTGCCGGGCGGCTTTGGCGGGATGGAGCCTCTCCGCTCCGGTGGAGAGTGATGGGTGGGGTGGGATCCTCCTGGAGACTCCTGGCTGGTAGGTTTCTCTGTTCCTGGCGATCCGCTGTTCTGCAATCCGGTACCTGGTGATCTGCAAGCAGCCCCCTGTGTCTCTGTGGCTCCGGCAGCCCCCGCCGGGCCGGCTGGCCGGCGGCTTGGCGCACTGCCGCGCGGCCAGTAAAGGTTGGGGGAGGGGTCTTCGCTCTTCTCTGTTCTGAAATTCTTCTTTTCCTCTCTTTCTTTTTTTTGTTATTTTCCACCTCTGGTTTTTCTCTGAGTGTTCGTCTTTTTGTTGTTGTCGGTCTCTTGGGGAGATTAAAGGTTGGAACTCGAACTCTCTTTTTGGTTGGAGAGAGCTGTGGCGTTTCCCTACTGCCCCGTCGCCATCTTGGTCCCCCCCTCGAGAAAGGCATTTTTAGAGCTGATTAAGTCGTGAGGGCTCTGATATAATGAATAATTTAATCCACTGATGGATAAAACATTTGAATAGGTTGAGTGGTGAGAACTTCCTGTCTGGATGGAGGAACTAGTCACTGGGTGTATATCCTTGAGAGCAGTATCTTGCCATGGTTCCTTCCTATAGCAGCTCTGTTTTTTGTCTGTTCACAAAGTGAACAGCTCTCCTCTGTAACATTCCTACCATACCGCCATGATGTTCTGCCCAAGCACAGGGGGCCTTGGAAGCCATGTGCTAAAATAAATCTCCACCCTTTAGTTGTTCTCGAAGGTACTTTGGGCACAGCTATGACATACCTATGTAAAAAACTTATATCTATGTAAGAACTTTAGAAGTTCTGATTTATTTGCATAAAACACTTCTTATTTGAGGGGGGAGGGGGAGAGAGAGAAAAAGGGGGGAGCAGCTGTCTTAACTTCATGGTGTGTGTGTGTGTGTGTGTGTGTGTGTGTAATTTGATATGAATACAGGCACAACCTATATTCTTTTTTTTTTTGTCAGTCGTGGGGCTTGAACTCTGGGCCTGAGCGTTATCCCTCAGCTCTTCAGCTCAAGGCTATGAGCCACAGCACCCCTTCTGGTTTTCTGGTGGTTAACTGGAGATAAGAGTCTCATGGACTTTCCTGCCCTGGCTGGCTTTGAACCACAATCCTCAGATCTCAGCCTCCTGAGTAGCTAGGATTACAGGCGTGAGCTACCAGCACTTGGCCACAACCTATATTCTTTTCTGCTTTAAATGTTCCAGAGCAAAAGGAGCAGTAACAATAGCATGAGTTCTGGATTGGCACAGAAGAGCATCAGGGGATCGGCCGAGGGTTCTATTCCATAACCTGTTGGTGATTCATTGGGTAGTGTGGGACAAAAGTGCTTGTCTGGATCCTATTGTCAAGAAAAGAGATTGAACTGGAGAACTCTGAGATCTTTTTAAGTTTTCAAATGCTGTAATAAGAAAATGTGTATGATGTGACATTTAAGGTCTTTCCAAATTTGTAGGCCCTTGTGACCTATAGTTTCCAGTTATCCAGCCATCCCATCTGGCTCCATGCTTCAACCATTCCCCTACTGCCATGCTTCCCTGAAATGACTCCTCCTCCTTTGAGTGCTTTAAAAACAAAGTAAAACAGTCTACTTCGCCTTCAAGTCTCTGTTACAAGCTCCTGTGTGAACCTTCCCCTACACTTTCATTCTAGGCACACTGTGCCTCCTTTCTCTCTCCTAATATGTATTTCTTCTATAGTACTGACAATACAGTACTACAGTGAATTTGTTTATATGCCAGGCCCCAAAGTGAACTGTAAGCTACTTAAGACAAAGATGACATATTTTAATTTTTCAATCCCAGTATGGAGGACAGTCAACAAATATTTATCAAGTGAATGAAGAGGAGCTTACATAAAACCACCTACAACCCTGAGGTACGTAATTATATGTAACTCTCAGAGGTGAGGTGACTTCAAGGCTTTACAACTAGTGGGATGGTTAATTAGGATTCAAACGGAAGACTTTCTAACCACAGAGCCTTTCTTCCTTTTGCTTTTGAGTGTTAAAATACTGGTTGAGTTTGGAGGTTAGAACCATCAGTGCTGCAATGCTCCTGGCCCAAAACAGAACAAGTATTTTCAAACCCATTTTAACCTCTATACAAGTGTCATGCCTTTATTATTGCTGAAAAACAAGTAGCTTGTCTTACCCTGAACATCAGCTTTTTACCCTCTGGTGGCAAGTCTCTCACTCTCCCAAATCTACACCCAGGATTCTGCTGTGTGTGTATGTGCGCGCATTTGTGTACACACATTTGGATTTCCCAATAGCTGCCTCAAGGAAACTGAGCAAAGAATGGATTTGCACGTTGCTTGAGATGACCAGAAAGGAGGCTGAATGTCTCATCCATTCCAGCATAGGAGGGATGGGCCAGCGTCAAGTCCCCAGGAAAATGAAAGAGATTCTACTCCCACTCCCACCCTGAGGTTGATCTGCCCTAGTTCCCAGAGCAATTAAAGACAGTACGGACAACAGATGGGTTTGTTTTTCCAAATAGAGCTCTACTTTTCACATCACCTCCTGAACTGCTGCTCCAACTCTGCTTACCTGGAGCATAACTGGGGCTATTGGTTGGGTACAGGCTGGGATTGTAGGCAGGGGCCGCTGCAGGGTAGGCTGTAGGGTAACCTATAAAGAAACAAGAAAAGCTTCACTTAGGCATAAGGTAAAAAGCAGATTTCTGAGGAAACAGAATCCAAGTTAACAGACTTGGATTCTCTTGAATCAAGAGAAAAGTAATTAATATCACACCATCAAAACATGTGGATTTTAAAATCTCCCTTAAAAAAAAGTAAAACATGCAATTATGACTGTATCCTCACTGTTAAAAAAAAAAGCGGGGGGGAGGGGGGACTCAGACTTGGAAGCATAGTTCAAGTGGTAGAGAGCCAGCTGAACAAGCAAGCCAAGCTACTATGAACCCTGAGTTTAATCCCAGGTACTTGAAAAGAAAAAAATCAAGAAAACAATATATAGAAGCATAGATGATGAAAAATGTAAGCTTACTTTCATATCCCTGCCACATTTCTCTCATCCCCAGAGGTAAGCTCATTAACACTTTTCCAGCTAGCTTTCTATATGGAAAAGAGAGCAAGTCTCTTTTGTAACATCTGTCAATTGTCTTGATGTTAGTAATCTCCCATTCCAATATGAAGCTGCTGATACCACTAAGTATATATACACGCATATATATATGTATACATGTATACAGATCTGAAGTAGCCTACTCGTCAATTAGCAGTCTAGGGGCATGGCACTTCTCAAGAAGGAAGTCAAGGTGTCTTGACTTTATAGGAATATACATGTACATATATATGGTAAGTAAAATACAAGGATACATACACATACATACATTTTTTTGTTGTGCTAATGGTTCAAACCTAGGGCCTCATGGCAAGCACTCTACCAAGAACTGTATTTCCAGCTCTACATCTTGTTTTGTTTTTTGGAAGTTTTCTATTGTGGTAAATTAAGCATAAAAAACTGACATTTCAATCACTTAAGGGTACAATTCAAGAACATTTATTATATTTGCAATATTGGTGCAAGAATCACCAATATCTGTTTCTACAGCCTTTCAATCATCTTCAACAAAAAGATGTCACCTTAGTAACAAGAGAATTAAAACACAGAATTTAAAGGGCAGGTTGTGGCAAGCGTGTGGTAATTAGAAGATAATGGGGCTTAGACCAGGGTAACAGCAGAAGAGGTGATAAAACTTCAAATAGGTTGCCATACTGCTTTCTAGAAAAGACTATTAATTTGAACTTGTCCTAGCAGTGCGTAAGTGCCTGTCTCACTACTTCCTACAGCTTTTAAATGCGCATTGGTATTCTCACTAACAATGGAAAGCTGGTTTTAAAAGTCAAAGATTAAATCCCTAAATCCCTAAAAGCTTCTTTGGGATTTGTAAATTTTGAAGCTTTAATAATGTATCTTTGTTAATATGCTGTTCCATAAATCCTTTCCAACTCCAAAGAAAATTCATTTCTCCTTACACTCTCCTCCATTTTTTTGATTTTAGAACTGACGTATCCAACTCGTCACTTCATTAACAATCTAGAGGTGTGGCACTTCTCAAGAACAAAGTCTAGGTGCCCAATCTGTGAAGCTAAGTAATCCAGTTTTATGGCTGAAACCTCTACTCAGCTTCAGGTAAGAAAACTGTCGCCAACAGGGCTTCAGTGGCTCACGCCTGCAATCTTAGCTACTCAGGGGACTGAGATCTGAGGATCCAGGCTCAAAGCCAGCCTGAGCAGAAAAGTCCCTGTGAACCTCTTATCTCCAATTAACCACTCAAAAACTGGAAGTGGAGCTGTGGCTCAAAGTGGTACAGGGCTAGCCTTGAGCAAAAGATCTCAGGGATGCTCTTGCCCATGTAATTGTAACTCCTCTATACGGTATTCTCACACACACACAAAAAATTAAATTGAAAAAAAAAGATCTCAGGGATGAGTTCAAGCCCCACAATGGAAGGAAGAATAGAAGGAAGGAAGGAAGGAGGGAAGGAAGGGAGGGAGGGAGGGAGGGAGGGAAGGAGGGAGGGGCGGGCAGGCTGCAACTATAAATAATCCCACTACCATTCTGTCATTTCAGATACTTTAGGGATGATTATAGATCTTTCTTCAACACAAGCAGAATGACCATATATGTCTATACAGGGTTGATCACAGGGTGATCAAACTCATGATTTTTGTGCCTCAGCTTCCAGAAAGCAACAGCAAGCAGGGGTGGTAAGAAGTAACATGCTAAGAGTCTTCACATATTTTGCAACACTATTTTCTAGAAAGATTTGATCTGAACTTGCACTAGCAATGTTTAAAGTACAGGGCTTGGGCTGGGATGTAGCTCAGTGGCAAAGCACTTGCCTAGCAAGTGCAACATCCTGCGTTCGATCCCCAGTACCAAAAAAGAAAAGACAAAAAAAAAAAAACAGTTAAAAAAAAAAAACAAAACCAAACAAAGTGCCGGGCTTGCTATTTTCTGCAATTTTAACATGTTCACTGGGATTTTGATTTGGTAGTCCAAATATTAGGATTGTAGGTAGGTGTACACCACTTAGAGTAAGGTGTACACCTGGCTTAGAGTAAGGTGTATGTGTATGTGGGGGGGGGGGGGGCTTAAACTCAGGGCCTCATGCTATCATGTGGCTTTTTGTCTTGTCTTCTGTTGGCACTCCCTACTTGGAGCCATATCTCCAGCCATACATCATTCAGAACAAGAGCTAAAAGAGTTTCTGCTATGATCTGGAACACAGCAAGCATGTCAACTTTCGCTGTACTTATTTAGCATAGTGTGTGTATTTGTTTGCTTGCTTGTTTTTGATCGGTGGTGGGGCTTGAACTCTGGGTTTAGGGGCTGTCCCTGAGCTCTTCAGCTCAAGGCTACACTCTACCACATGAGCCACAACACCACTTCCGGTTTTCTGGTGGCTAATTGGAGACACTAGTCTCACGGACTTTCCTGGCCCAGACTGGCTTTAAACTGTGATCCTTAGGCATGAGCCACCAGGGCCCAGCTTCAGCATATATTGTATAGAAGTCTTAATCAGAGCACTTAAGCAAGAGAAATAAAAAAACGTATCTAAATAGAAAGGGAGGAATCAAATTATCCCTATTTACAGCAGGCATAACTATAAATAGAAAAATCTAAAAAAATCCACCAAATTGGTAGAAACAATATTCAGAATTCAGTAAAAATCAAGAAAGCAATCTCACTATTACAAAAAAGTTAAATAATTTAAATTACCTAAATTGCCAAAAGTATTAAAATTAAATTTACTAAAACTTGTAAAATATTAGGCCCCAACTATTCAGTTAAGCCTTTTAAAAGTTAGCTATGATCACTTCAAACATAACAAGAATAATTTTTTACTTCTGAATCTTTCCCAAACTAGTTCTCTATAGTTTCATTTTTTTCTATATTAGAAGACAATAACTCATTCTTCCAACTCTAAGGTGAACAAACCTTAGTTTTTGCTTCTTCTCTTTCAACTATCCACATCTAACCTATCAGCAATCCTTTTAATTCAATTTTATGTATTTATTTTGGTCGGTCGTGGGGCTTGAACTCTGGGCCTTGGCACTGTCCCTGCCCTCTTCAGCTCAAGGTAAGCTCTCTACTGCTTGAGCCGTAGTGCTACTTCCAGTTTTTGAGTGGTTTATTGGAGATAAGAGTCTCACGAAGTTTCCTGCCCGGGCTGGCTTTGAACCGTGATCCTCAGATGTCAGCCTACTGAGTAGCTAGAATTACAGGTGTGAGCCACCAGTGCCCAACTATTTTTTTTATTTTTAAGTTTTTTGTCAGTTGTGGGGCTTGAACTTTGGGCCTAGGCGCTGTCCCTCAGCTCTTCAGCTCAAGGCTAGTGCTCTCCCACTTGAGCCACAGCACTACTTCCAGTTTTCTGAGTGATTTATTGGAGAAAAGAATCTCACGGGCTTTGGTGCCCTGAGCTGGCTTTGAAGCCTGATCCTCAGATCTCAGCCTCCTGAGTAGCTAGGATTTCAGGCGTGAGCCACCTGGTGCCAGGGCTTCTAATTCAATTTTTAAAACATACTCAAAATCTGCCAGATCTCAATGTGTCCACATTTTGCATTCCAGCCCAAGTCATAATTGCTTTTACCAACATTATTGTAAAAGCCTCAAACACAGTCTCTCTGCTTATACTCTTGATTTCATATAGTCTATTTCCTACAGCAGCCAGAGTGGTACTGTTTTAACTGTAAGTCAAATCATACCCTAAAGTGGCTTATGATAATTAGGAGAGCTAAATCCATTTAATGACTCACCTGGGGTCCTGCTACCTATCTAATATCCTCTCTTGTTATTTACCTCCAGCTACAATGGCCTCCTCAATGTTCCTCAAATATGCCAATCATCTTTCCATCTCAGTCTTTGCCCCTTTGCCCACCATACTCCAAAGACTCTCCCCACCTCCAAGAGTTGACTAGATTTTCTCCTGAAGCTCATTTGGCAATGACACACCATATATCACTTCACTATTGCTCATACAAAATAGTTTCTCAGGACTGTATTTATATTTTTTGAAGGTCAAGACTACAAAGAAAAAAATGTGTGAGCATTACTCCTTTATAGTTCAAAGGTTGTAGTAATGATTAGCTTTCCTGCAATTGTGATGTGTACATTTCAAATTACTTTATAGCTGTCAATACAATCTAATCTCCTTTTCTTGTTCTTACTAGGATTAAAGCTAAAGAAATACAAAGCTATTTTTATTAATATGGAAATAAGAAGTTATTTCAACAGAAATCAAGGGACTATTCTTGAAACTGCCTGATCTTTAGAAACTGTAAATAGTAGAATATCAAAAGGCTATGGAAAACTAACTCTCTGGCTTAGGAAGACTAAGAGGATTAGCCCTTTGTGGGCAAGGGGACACTTAGGCAATAAAGATATTTTAGATCTGAAGTTCATGATTAAAATGAAAACTACTGCTGCAATCCCAGCTTGGTTATTTTTTTTGGGGGGGGGGGGGGGGGGGAGTCGGGTCGTGGGACCTGAACTCTGGGCCTGGGTGCTGTCCCTCAGCTCTTCAGCTCAAGGCTAGCATTCTACCACTTGAGCCACAGCGCCACTTCTGGCTTTTTTCTTTTTGCTTATGTGGTGCT